TCTCTCTCTCTCTCTCTCTCTTGAAAATATTTACTTATGCTAAAATTTGATGAAATCATCATGAAATCCATTAGGAAAATTACATTATGCTTATATAATTTACTAAATTAAATTATATCTAATGTTTGGTAAATACAATATTTGAATTTACAGCATAAACATTATAATAAAATTATATAGATTTATTAAAATAATATTTTCAATTTTATATGAGCATAAAGTAATAACAATTACACATCATTTAGGTTGGGGTGTATTGGCCTTAAAATTGATCAAAATTATCGATTTTTTAATTATTAATTTTTTAATATATAAATTTACTTAATGTTCACATTTAATATATAGTCGTTATAAGTCTACAAAAGCTGAATAATTACGGAATTAATTAAACGATATAAATTTTGTTATATATGCATTAATTTATATTTTTAAATTTATTATAATGTAATACGAGTGCAAATATTATACAATATAATATGATAAATTTATGTCAAATACCATATGTACCTATTATTTAGGCAATTAGTCTATCGATTATGTGACAAATTATTTGTGTTTTAAAAAGATAATTAATTTTATTTTTATTTTTGTTTATAATTTGCTAACAAATAGGCATTAAATATATCAAAGTTTCAAAAATTATAATTTATGGTTTTATAACATTTCTATGTCAATGTAATTATAAAACCAATCGATATGTCTTTTTGTTGATATTATTACTATTGTATATATTTTTATTATAGGCAACAAATAAAATATTAATATAAATTACATTAAAAATATAGTCAAATGATTTCAATTTTATGTTTTGTTTTCTTATATTTTGTTTTTCATTTAATTATGTTTTTGTTTTAGTATTTATTTTATAATAAATTAACATTTTAATCGATATACACATTACATGTATAAAATAAATTAATGCCTTAATTTAGAAATTATTTTTAGCGTACATTAAATCAATATTTTTACTATACATTACAGGATATAGCCAACAAAATAGAGTGTTAAAAAATTATAAATTAAATATTAATAAAATATCTAATAATTAAATATTTAAAGTTTACAACTAAATTTAATTGCATATAATTTAATTTCAAATTAATTTTATTACATATAATTTAATTAATCTAATTACAAACTAATGATAATTATAATAATATATTGGTAAATTTAAAGCAATTAATACGGAAGAGGGCAGGAGAAACCCTAAAATTAATAACTAGGCAGACCAACTGATTCTGGTTTAAATTCATCTAGACAATTAACAATGTGGGTAATTTTAGGAGCGATTTCAGTGAAATCACCATGTTTTCGCTCATTAACCAATAGGGTTTTCATACCGGAAGCCACGGCACCAATTATACCACCCAATGAATCCTCGATTACCAGTACATTATCAGTCAATTCGGGCGCTTTTAGAAACCGATTCTTACATACGATATACACTTCTGGATCCGGTTTTGTACAACTGACCTCCGGGTCGGTGGAGGCGCACACGTAGTGCTGGAAATACTTACCGAAATAATTATTGTCAAACATTTGAAACACAGATTCCACAAATATTTTGGGCGAATTGGTCGCTATGGCCATCGGTATGTTGTGTTGGTATAGGTGTCGTACTAGTCTGTCCGCACCGGGCATTAGTGACCACTTCCTGCTCAATAGCTGACCAATTAATTGTTTAGAGAGAGCATTGCGGTCAATATCAGGGCCCAAATTCAATGCTTCTAAAAAGTTGTAAAATAATTTGGTTCGATCACCACTCATTATTTTATCTGGGTAAAAAATTAATTTATTTAATTTTGTGATTTTTACCATTTTTGTATTAATATTTATTGTGCTGTAAAAATTTAATGCGGTTATAATAATATAGATTCAATGATTATTTAATAAAATGTTGCCTAAATTGATAAGCTAATTAATTATTTTGAACTTATAACCGGTTTTGTAACTATTTTATAACTTGCTCTGTTCTAGATGTGATAATATTATATTGTAGAAAAATGTAATCGTACATGTAGTGTAAAATTATAAATATCCAAACTAGCTCACTATATATTAAACAATTTTAACATTGGTTAATTAATAACAAATTATTACAAGTTCTATTAAAACTTATAGAGACCTAGTCAATAGATGCGACTACATTTTTCTACTATCACATGTTATTTACTCTACAGTATATGTTTATAAGAGTAAACAGCTATCAACCAGCAATTAATGACTGTTGGATATTTTATGAATTAAATTTAATATAAGAATATACAGCAATACAAATGATATACCAATTTGATCGGCTGTTAGCGCTTTACCAATACTATTGGCATAACTATGAAAAACTGCGGCCATTGGAGTATCGGAGTCGACAAGAGTGCCGTCCAAGTCAAAGATCACATGAGTTATTGTCGTTTCGTTGGACATGATATTTATTTTTAAACTTGAATTGTTTATTGGTTAATTACTCAATTATTAATTTGTTATGGTTAGAATGACTTGCATTTTATAATTTACCTTTATAAATGCAGTTGTTCAATATGTGTATGTTGTAATAGTTAATCTAATTCAAGGCTATTGAGCTAATTGATTATGATAAGCACAATTAGTATAAACTAGTACAATTTGATAATTAATTTATTTAGTGCATTCAGAAACGGTTCGTTTGCGCTAGTTAATTTATTCCAGTTTGTGTCCACACTAGCACAATCTAGTATTAATAAATATAAATTGTACTAAACACAAGCAAGAATAAATTAAAATAATTATAGATATTTAGTAGTAATATATAAAATATGGTAATTAAATATATGCATGTTTTTATTTGTTAAATTACTGAATATTTATTAATTATTAGATAACAATAAAATAATATTAAATAAAAATAGTTTATTTGCTATCTATTGTAAAGTAGTGTTAAATTTTATAACAATTTTTCTGGATAAATTTATCAGTAAGAAAATTCCAGAAATAAAAACATTGAATAATGTTATTATGTTATCAAACTAAATCAATGTAAATATTGTATAAATTATTATAAAAATTTAACACATTTTAGAATAAAATAAATTTATGTCTCATATGGAGGAAAGCCAAGGGTTTCTGGTTTAAAATCATCAAATGTGTTGCAAATAACTGTAATCCTATCGGCGATTGTTTCAAATGAACATAACTTCTGGTCATTAATCAATAGAGTCTTCATTCCTGAGGCGACGGCGCCAGTGATACCGGTCAGAGAGTCCTCCACTACTAATACGTTAGCATTAGATTTCGGGGGTGTTTTAAACCGATTCACACAAATGTGATACACCTGTGGGTCAGGTTTTTTGAGCACAACCTCCGGGTCGTCATAAGCGGACACACCGTGACTGAAATATAAGCCGTCGTCCAGAAACGGCTTCATCTGTACCCGAGAAGCGGCCAGTAGTCGAGAACTTGTTCCCGTGGCGATCGCCATTTGTATGCCGTGTCGGTGCAGATGTTTTACCAACCGCTCCACACCAGGTATTAGTGTAAATTTAGTTGAGTACACACCTTTTAACAAGTTATTGTATAGTTGTTCTTGGTCCGTTGGGTTTAATACCAAGTCCAGTGAGTCCAACAAGTGTTCAATTAAAAGTACCAACGACACCAGATTTGGTACCTCCACTTAAATTAATTATACTCAAATTATATTTTAATAATTTAAATTGTAATTTATTTTACATTCAATATCTTTAGACAACACTTTTCCGTGACTTTTGGCATAATCTCTGAGTACATTCACCAATATTTCCGGTGTATTGATGAGAGTTCCGTCCAAATCAAACAACACGTGAGTAATATTGTACACCATTTAGTTCACTATAACGGGTCTGTAAAGTGTATATTTAAAACAATTTGTAAAATACACTGCGATATTAAACATACAATATAACGTGCAATATTTATAGAAAATTTGACAATTTAGTTATATAAAATAATATTACACATATTAAATTTATAGTAAAGTATAGTGTTGTTAAAAATATATTTATAGATTAGGATAAAATACATTCTTAGTATGAAATTTAAAAAGATTAGATAATTGGATCATATACATTGTAAACACATTAACGGTTACAAATTATAATTATCATGGTTATAAAAATATTTATTATTAATCATTATTGTATAAATCTTATAGTTTAATTGAATGTGTTTTATTAAATTTAATTAAAAATTTAACCAATAATGTTAGAATACTTTTAACATTCAAACGAGTTAAGTTTCCTACCTGTACAAATACTTAATGATAATCAATTCATTTATTTAATTTTAGTACATTAAGTGGTGGGTTTGAGTACATTTGGCATATATATTATAAAATATATACTGGTGTACTGTTTGTATTTACTTGTTAGTAATTTATTTTAAAATATCATCTTACTAAAAGTCACAACTTGTGTACATGTACACAATGAATTTATGTTTTATCAATGAATTTCATAAATGTTAAATCACGCGAAAATTGAATGTTGGATTCAATAATTAACAATTTAAAAGCGATGGCAAATGCTTTAGAAAAGTTATCTTATTTTGATAAATATTTATTTGTGAATAAACAATTAACAAAGAATAGTAAATATACAAACATTATTTATTGCAACTCAAAACATTTTGTACCAGGATTATATTTTTTTGCCAAAATTCAAAATCAATTTGATTATCGCACATTAATTTTGTATTTAATATTTATTGTGTTGTAAAAATATTACTTAAATTTATAGCTTAAGATTTTTAATTAAAATATTTTATCATTTTTTTATTACAAAAGATATCACCCATTTTTTAAATTTCAAAGTGAAAAAGTTTTGATGTAAATATAATTGTTTTAGAATTTATGTATTATAATTATTTTTAAATGTTCATTTACAATTAATTAACAAATTTATATTTAATTAATAAATCTTTAATTTATTTTATATGTCATATGGGGGTAAACCGAGTGATTCCGGTTTGAAATCATCAAATGTTTTGCAAATAACAGTTATTTTATCGGCGATCGTATCAAATGAACACAGCTTTTGGTCGTTTATCAACAGAGACTTCATACCTGAAGCCACTGCTCCGGTGATACCGGTCAGGGAGTCCTCCACTATCAATACGTTAGCATTAGATTTTGGAGGTGTAGTAAAACGTTTGACACAAATGTGATACACCTGAGGGTTCGGCTTATTGAACATTACCTCCGGATCGTCATAACCGGCCACAGAGTGACTAAAATATAAGTCGTCGTCCAGAAATGGCCTCATTTTCAACCTCGAGTCCATTAGTGCTCGACCTCTGTTAGCCGTGGCGATCGCCATATGTATGCCGTGTCGGTGCAGGTGTTTCACCAACCGCTCCACACCTGGTATTAGTGTAACTTTTGTTGAGATTAAACGTTTGGCAATGTCATGGTATAGTTGTTTTAGTTCGGTGTCGTTTAATATTAAGTTCAGTGAGTTGAGCAACTTTTTAAAAAGATTTTGCACATTGGTCAGATTTGGTACCTCTACTAAATATTTGAGTACATTAAACAATTTTACAATTATATTTTAATCAACAAAAATACTTTATCTTACATTCAATTTCTTTGGACAACACTTTTCCGTGACTTTTGGCATAATCTCTGAGGATATCCACCAATATTTCCGGTGTATTGATGAGAGTTCCGTCCAAATCAAACAATACATGAGTTATATCGGATGCCATTTAGTACACTATAACGAGTCGCTAATATTGAAATTACTTGATATATAGTACAGTATTTAACGTGTATTTATATAAAAATTGTTGTATTGATTCATATCATTTGATCTTATAATGAATCAACTTATTGTTACTTAAAAAATTGTTGTAATAGATTTGCAATTCATCTGATAATAGATTTCTGTTACAATACAAACACATTACCAAAATTTGATATTAATATTAATTGTAATTATCAATGTCATTTGTTAAAAATTATTATTTTGCAATGTAATTGTATTATATTTATTATATGTTGGGTACATTAAATAATTTTATTTTAATTAAAATATTAACTAAAAATAAGTTGACAATTGTTCCAATTAATTTTCTTAACTGTATGAATAATTATTTAATATTAATTCATTTATATAATGTTTAGTACATTTTGCTGGTTTTACACTGGACTTCCTTTTCAAGCCCTTCCAAATCAAGCATTCGTATAGCATTTGCTGTACTAATGAAAATGACGAAATGTATAGCCAGTGCTTAAAAAGAAAGGGCTTGAAAAGGAAGTCTAGTGTTAGTACATTTTGATTATTTGGTACTTTTATTTCAAAATATATAATTAAGTATTTATACAATATATTTTTTTATTTTTTAAGTACAAAAACTTATAATGAATGCACTAAAACCAGTTCTAGTTGTATAGTAACTTCTAGTTATATACAGTAAGTACAAATGAATTTTATACTGTATTTTAAACAGTATACAAAAATTTAGTTTACGAACTATAAAAGTTAGTATAAAAATATATTCTTAAAACTTTATTTTACAAATGCAACTGTCTTAATTAGTTTATTTTCAAATTGTAATTTTCTAATATATTTTATACAAATTATATTTGATATAATTATATAATGTTCAATTTAATAAATGTATGAATGATTTCATTAAATGAATTTAAAGTAAAATGAAGTGAATTAAATTAAATTAAGTGTAAAACACGTAAATCATATCTGATATTAATTTAAACTTAATGTAAAAATAAGTTTTATTTTATAAAAGTAAAAAATTGTAAAAATAATCATTAAATGATTAGCAAATTTTGTTATATGGAGGCAACCCGACTGACTCCGGTTTGAAATCATCAAATTTGTTGCAAATAATAGTTATTTTATCGGCGATTGTATCGAATGAACATAACTTTTGGTCGTTAATCAACAAAGTATTCATTCCGGAGGCGACGGCACCCGTAATACCGGTCAGGGAGTCCTCAATAATCAATACGTTTGCATTGGATTTCGGGGGTGTTTTAAACCGATTCACACAAACGTAATACACCTGAGGGTCAGGTTTGGTGAGCACAACCTCCGGGTCGTCAAACGAGGCGACGCCGTGACTGAAGTATAGGCCGTCGTCCAGAAATGGCTTCATCTGTAACCTCGAGGCGGCCAACAATCGGCTACTGGTGCCCGAGGCTATTGCCATATGTATGCCGTGTCGGTGCAGGTGTTTCACCAACCTCTCCACACCAGGTATCAATTGAACCTTTTTGGTATACACGCGTTGAAAGAAGTCACAGATGAGTTGATATTGATCTTTCTCGTTTACTTCTAACCCAATTGAGTCCAGAAATTTGTTCATCAATGAGTTGACATTGCTCAAATTTGGTATCATCGCTACACGTGAACATCAGTTTTAATTCATGATATAAATAATTAGATTATTTAAATAATTATATTGATAATTTGTACGCTTACATTCAATCTCTGGCAACAATGACTTTCCATGATTTTCGGCGTAATCTCTGAATACTTGAATCAATAAATCCATTGTATTGATGAGAGTTCCGTCCAAATCAAACAATACGTGTGTTATTTTGTGAACCATTTTGTTTATAAAAACACTTCTCTAATATATTGTTTAATAAAATAATTTTAATAAATGCTAAATCATTTGTTAAACTCATAATTAATAACATTCTCGCTCTCTATTTATACAATATGTGAACAATTAAGCAGTCGTTTTATAAAATATGATCATATGTTAAATTATCATTTGTGATGAACTTAATTAAGTAAAATATTTAGTATTTAAAATGAACTTAATAATGTAAAATATTGGAAAGTTAAATGATAAGATTTTAATTTTATATTATTAAACAACATTTACTCTTAAGATTTTAATCGTAATTTATTATAAACATCAAGGTCAGATGACAAGCATTATGTATATTTGATGATAATTGTATATTTTATTTGAAGGGGATTTTCTATTGAAATTTATTTAAAATATTAATTTTAATTTTTATAATAATTTATGAATAGTTAATTATTTTATCAATTTATTTATTGTAATTAAATTCATTATAATTAACAATTAATTAAATTACGTTGTCTATGTCTATGTAACTTTATTTACATTACTTTCATAATTATGTATAAGAATCTTAATATATTATGTATTTAACAATTGATTAATTAAGTATACAGTAGTAATTAATTTTTATTAAATTCAAGTAATGCTATTTATATAAACAATTGAAATAAATTATGAATTTAATGAGTGTTATAATAAAAATTTATATTAATATAAAATTATAATTATAACAAAAATTATTTGATATATAATTTATATTATAACTGTTAATTTCATTAAGGAAATTTTGATATAATTATATTATAAATGGCAGTAAAAAAGTTTATAGCACAACTTTGATAAAGTTATATCAAAAATTTGTTTATACAAATAATCTCGATGAACTATTATTAAATGTATACTACAAGAGTTTTAGGAACTTTTAAATAAAATTTATGGAAACTATCAGTTGTCATATTGGGGTAAACCAACTGATTCTGGTCTGAAATCATCAAATGTGTTGCAAATAACAGTTATTTTGTCTGCAATCGTATGAAATGAGTGCAACTTCTGGTCGTTAATCAACAGAGTTTTCATTCCTGAAGCCACTGCTCCGGTAATGCCGGTCATCGAGTCCTCGACCACCAGTACGTTATGACACGAATCGGGCGCTTCTTTAAATCGTTTGACGCACTCGTGATAGA